TTCCTTTAATTTAGCTTTCTTTAATTTTTCTAAACTTTCTCTTTTCTTTTTTTTTCTTTCTTTTTCATCTTCATCATCCTGAAATTAGATCAATGACAGGTTTTATAAAACAGACCAAGTCAGGTCAGCTCAAATGGTGGATATTTGTCTTTTAAAACTAATCTTTAGTTTGACAAAACGATTTGGTTTATAGCTAGGGCTGGGTAAAATGATTGAAATAATCAATTACCGTCGCTACAATATTTATAATTTTGATTATCAATTATCAAATTTCATAATCGATTTTATGTCAAAGTTACGTTTTCTCCCCTGTCCCCATTTACAAGTAGTAATCTCTTCCACATAGGTCCACTTCAGCACGTAACTTACCCACAATAAACTATAATAACAGATCAAAGCAAGAATATACTTCTATGACCGAAAATGACCTATAAAATTTGGAATTTTGGCATGTTTTTAATTTAGCATTTACAAGGAATTCCTCATTAAAATATTTCGATTATTTATCAATTATTAAACGATAGTCAATAAATAATCAATCTAAATTTGGTAATCGATTCCCCTCCCTATTTATATCCATTGCACCACTCTATAATTTTGCATTTATTGTGTTAATCTCGCACACTCCATTTTTCCTTCATCTAAACACTAAACATATTTCTGATGCCAGCTGAGGATGACAATCCCTATGTTTCCATGCTAACATGTTTAAGATTCAAAAGAAACCTGAAATTTGTCTTACCACAAAATCTTCAAATTTCTTTTTCTTTCTTTCTCGTTTTTTATGATCTGGGTCATCATCTTTCTGTTCTGACTCTCTTTCTTTTAATAATTCTTCTCTCGCTTTCTCCATCCTCTCTTCCTCTTCTTTAGCACGTCTGTAATCAAATATATTGGCAAATTATTGAGTTTCATTGTGATACAGAGCTTTATCAAAAGAAACAATATCCATGAATATTGATTTGTAGAGCAAACATTATTTACCTGTCAGCTTCTTCTTGTAATTTTCTTTGAATTTCTTTCTTTTTCTCTTCATCTTTTTTCTTCCAACTACTAATAGCACCAGATCCATCACTGTAAAATACATAGAGCAAGTATAAATATTTAACAACTTAAAGATAATTATTGTACACTATCAAACTAATAGTGATAACCATTTATAATTCAGCTGAGACTGAGATCTGTTGAGAATATCAAAAATCGAAAAGTTATCCATACAGGCAGGCGGTCAATTAGATCATTATCACCATAATAATCAATTCTTTTACAATCTTAGACGGCCATAGGAATAATTATCTATGGCTCATTGATGATAGTGAGTTGCATAATCTTGGGATGCACAAAAAATCCTTCTGTTGTAGCCAATTTTTTACTATGAATTACCGATCATGTAGGTTATCCAGTTACAAATTCTAGCTAATCTCTCAAATTGCTTTGTGATTGTATAATCAGGTTTTTATCACGTTGAAGTAAATTTATACATTGTCAAATAAGTTCATTATTTAGTATATTAATTAAAAGGGAACTGACCTATCACTATCAGAACTAATACTATCACTAGATAAGACTTCTTTCTTATTACCACCACTAGATGCTCTACCTACAATATATATATTTATACAAATAACAAATAACCAACTGATGCCTAATATATACTATACTCTTAAAGCCATCAAAATTTCCTTGCACTTGTAATAGCCATGAAAATTACCATTTACAGTGTAAAATCATTTGCCAAATATGGATGTCAAATCCAACAAAATGGAGTTTCACATCCTTCTCTGGTGAAGCACTCAATGGAATCTTTCAGTCAACTTTTATCACTGACATGAATTGAACTGCAACAGAAACTTGCAGTGGGTTCAAAAACCGCCGTTTAAAATCCTCATTTTGTGCCGTTTTCGCCGGCTACTTTTCGTTGAAAGCACGTAAAAAAAATTTGACTTTAGCATTTATAAATCGAAATTTTACGGTATCCTTATTTTTACAGAAAACGAAATCAATAAACAACTTAGACGGCGTTGCATAGGTCTTTCTACTAAGTAGAAAATCCTGCTAGACTGGATGTCCGAATCTAATGTGATCTGTATCTTCGTTTCATAAAATCCTTTTAAAATTTTATGACAGCCCGTAAACTTTCCGTTCTTGCATTTGTTTTTCTGACCAACTTATACAGGGGACAAAATAACCAACATGGAATCGCTAATTGAGATACAATTTCAAGCAAAATAGAATGTAATTTTCGTCAGTAAAGCATTTTTTTTTTTCATTTGGACGATTTAAGATTGTTTCATAACCTCCGAATAAAAAACGACACTAATGTTCACGCTTTTGGGAACAGGGATATGGCTTACACTAGCTTGGTAGATCTGGACCCTACCGATCGACAATCAAGTAGAATTGGAAAGCTTTGTCATTTTCAAAAAGATATAAAACACTTTTAATTTAGAGGGGTTCTTAAAAAAAAATAATGACAGGCTTATAAATATTCGTAACTGTATAAATCGCAACCCTGAGCTTCCTATATTTATCAGTTAGTTTTGTCTCTCTCAATCGAGATTCATACGCGTACGACCTTCAAAATTTAGACTCAATGTCACGAAAAGATACAAATAACAGTAACAAACAAATATTATTTCTATCTTTGGCTTTGAATTGATTGAAAAATGCAATTGAAATATAAACGTAAGAAAAAAAGTCTTTGTTGAAGACAAGTTGGTAGATATGCGGTATTTCTACTCAAAATTATGGTTTCTACGTTATGCCAACTTGTTTACTTTTTGCGTCCGGACTGGTAGTTAATTATTATGTGACAGATTTTCCCCGATTCACTCAAATGTATGAAATGGTGCGTATTATACGGTAATTAATTCTAATTAATATTTAGAAACAGATTTTGTATTAAAATTACAATCAAGTGACAAGGTTTTTACGCAATTATGATGCCATTCATAACTTAGAAATTTGCAGAGCTGTTCTATATTCTTGAAAGTGCTGTGCATTTTCAATTGTCGCATTAAAAACAAACTGCTTCACTAAGTTGTTATGGAAATCCTTCATAAAGCTTAAAACTTATGTTTGATTAATAAATAAATTTTTAATTAGTATTTATCCTAGTCTGAAGAGGACCTAGATGGAAGTGTCAATTTTGGTTCAATCCTCTCAAGTGCCAGGATTATCTGATGCCTGATGTTTCATTTTCCAAATTTTCTTTGGGGAGGTCTTAACTCCCCTTGACTCTCATCTTCCGCCAACGAATCTTGGAATGACCAGCCTCCTACTTTTCTGAAACTGCCCCCTACTTTAAAAACTTTTGAACCCCCTGAACTTGTAGGAAACTTACTTTTCTTGGGTGCTGATTTATTTGCTGGAGTTCTGGGTTTTCTTGGTTTCTTCGGCTCTTTCTTTTCTTTCTTCTGCTTTTTAGCAGGTTTTTCTTCAACCTCTGAATTCTCATTATCTGAACCTTCTTTTTCACTTTCACTATCTGACCCTTTACTTGGCTTTCTCTTTCCTTTACCTTTCTTTTTCTTACTTTTAGATTCCATCAAATCAAAATCCTAAAATTAAATATCAAAGGAACATTTAAGGTTTCCATTTGGCATCGACAAAATCTTGTGAATACTTCTACTATCTATCAATATTAATAAGCATTATAATAAATATATAGAATTACTACTAATTGATTTTTAATATTTCTGCATCGCTCTACAATTGATGTATTGAGCACTATTTTAGCAGTGAGAATTTTTCATTACTGTAATATATATATATATAGCACTCAAATAATGACAGAAGAGCATGACTTCCGTGCTGGAAACATTAACAATTATTAATAAAATTTCAATGCCAAATAATAGCTGAATCAAGATAATATTTAGTGTTTTTTTTTTTAAACATAAGCTCTTTCTTCTAGGATTAAGGAAGAAGAATCCTACCTCATCAGCAGAATCTTCCTTGGACGAGTCAGAAATTTCATCAAATTCTTCAGCACTATCAACTTCATCATCAACCTTTGATTTTCTCCTTGCTTTCTTAGCAGGTTTCTAAAAAAACAAGTCATCTGTGAGAAATCTGGACACAGTATATTGTTATTGATCAGTTCTTTAAGCCTTTCGCTTTCTTGATACTCAAATAGCTTCTGGACTCCTGACACTAGGCGTAATCCCTAGCAATTCTGGGCTCAATCAATTGCACTTAACACAATTAGTCACAACACTTACTCAGTTGATCATGATGATCATATTATACATGTTATACACTTCTAACATTCTAGCCTTAAAGAAACACCTTATTATACATCCTAAATCAGAACAGAGACATGTTTTATACAAACCTTTTTCTCAGAATCGCCACTACCTTTTCTTTTTCTACCTGCCTTTGCTTTCTACAAATAAATCAAGTCTTAGATTTAACTAAACTATTGATTTTTAAACAATCAGTACAAATAATGACAGTTTAAACAAGATAAACACATTTTGACTTAATATAAATATATACTATTTAGTGGCATGAACATAGGCTGACTGTGTCAAGGTTGCACAGTCACGTTATAAATCAGAGTTTGATATTTGATGATTGAAACTGTTTATAGCTTACAGGTGTTTTCTTAGGCTTTTTTTCTTTTTCTTCCTCCTCTTCATCAACAGAAGAAGATTCAGGTTCTTCTTCAATTTCTTCTTCTTCTTCTTCCATCTCACCTTCATCTGTGCTTTTAGCCTGTAATAATAGATTGCAAACATTTATAGTATAAATGTTCTTAATACTTATGAACCTTTGTAAATTTAGTGAAAATCATTGTGTTGGCTCTGCCACAGAGAAAGATCTACACTGATATTGTAATAAAAAAATTACCTAAATTTTAAGTTACTCTATGATGTATAGAAACTATCCTTTGAAGCAACAAGATTAGGATGAATAATAATATATTTATTAATAATAATTGTCTAACTTTAACTTGTGCATCTAATATACCATTAATACTAATAAGATTAGGATAGTTATATATGACCTACCCCTTGAAATTTAACAGAAGGGTTATGGATAATTTCTTCCAGGCCTTCATTAAAACCAACACGTTTATTCTGTTTACCGTATTTATCTACATACTTATCATATGGAAAAATATCTTTAGGTAATAAGAAAGCCCTAGAATACAAATAAAAAACTGTAAAATATGAGACCGGCAAAATTAAAGGGATAGCAAATTTGTACACTGAAAATAATCAATTTGCTAATAATACCACTAGAAAAAGATATCTAAGCACATCCTGGTACAATTCAAAGCTTCAACACAACCAGTCTCTTTTATTTTAAGGTACCAGTAAGGTAGTATTAAGAGCTAATGAACACAAAATAAGCTTGAGTCTTGTTTGTATGGTTTCAAAAACAAAATAGACAATGTAACTACATGTAGTGCTTTCATAATAGCTTATGATTAGATTCATTCACTTACGTTTCGTGAGTACCATAGAAAAAGATAGGAAACTTTCCTTTAGGTATGGGAGATCCTTCTGGCAGCTCATCAATCTGAAAAAGAAAGACTGAACATGTAAGGTAACATTAACTCTTTCACTAATGCCCTTTCCAATTCAACTGTAAATTTTTTGGACTGATAATCATAAGGGCGAGATAATTTCTGCTACAAAGTCTGTTGTGCTACAGAAGACTACAATAACATGATGCAATTTGATTCCACATGGAGTTTTTCAGACTTTAATCGAATAATCATCCCACTCCCTTCAATAGAAAATTAAATACTTAATCTAGTTCAGTCTAAAAACTGATAAGATGGATATGAGACAGACCTCATACTTACTCTGGCTGGCCAGTGTGGATAACCCTTCATCTTAGCAAATATCTTATCACCAGGCTTGTACTGGATCTGATTAGCCATGTTGTTGTTTGACTTGTTGGAGCTATCAGTTGTCAATCAGAAATATCAGTCATTGATCATATCAACATCATCAAAAATCAAACCACAGTATGACAGAACTATCTGTTCTGTTCATAATAAGAACTAATACCAAACAAATCTGTTATTGTTAGTCCAACCAAGAAAACTGTATAACAACTAACAAGAATAATGAAAAGAAACGGTAAATAGTTCAAAATAGGGTGCAAATTAAGTGCATAACATCAACATATGTAATTAATTAACTGTGAGAAACTAAAACAACCCTTCCATCAACAATATTACCGTTTCATATTGATGAAGATAGCTAATTTCACACTTTAATTCACGTTTTCTCGAGTAACCCTAAGCAAATTCTTTGTAGTCGGCCATGTTCCCGCGAGTGCTCTCGCGAGAAGTGGGATTTGGCGGGTGTAATAGACTCCCCGAAAAGGGGTGAAAGGATGTAAAAAATATTTCATAATTTTTCACATCTTGGAATTTTTGTATCATCGAACATCATGAATCAAATTAGGATCACGTAGATAATCAGGTCTGATATGAAATTCAAGGAAAACCATCTACATACATACATTTCATAGTTACATACATTGATGGTGATCCCTAAATTTCAGATGTATTCGTCCAACCTAAGAACGTCACGTGACGCTGAAACTTTTGCAGTGTTTGCTTACAACAGAAAAAGAAGACAGAAAATAACTTTTATTAACCCTTAACATATCAATTGACAATTTCACATCATGGAAATAAAGGCACTCATTCACTGTGCTGATTTTTCTGCCAAAAAACATAAAGATCAGAGACGAAGAGACCCTGAAAAGACTCCTTACATAAACCACCCTATAGGTGACTTTTTGGTGTCTGTAAATTGTCAACTTCCTTTAAAAAATTTCCAGTGTCTTGTACAAAATCAAAAAGACAGAGGTGAAAATAGCCTCTCATGTCCTTGGTCTTGGCATCAATATTTAAGTTGGCTTTAATGTATAGGCCTTGATTTGATTGGAACCAGTGTCCAGGGAAAAAAGCATTATCACGACCCATTTTTTTTTTTTAATTCATTTCAAATGAACAGACTAATTTAAAGTAGCCTCCACTAGGCCTACATGTATAAATGTAGTGACAAAGAGCCATTCTAACTAACCATACTTATTTTTTTTTAAAACTCTGGCAATCAATGGTGGCCGATATGTATTATGAGGATATATTTTTGCTGGGTTTTATTTTTCTTTGATCCTCTACAATTTCAGACTAACCTTATTTCACCTACCCTCCTGTATTATATTTATAATGTATCCCTTTTTTCAGGTGTAGCTCATATATTAACAGAAGAAGCTGGTATAACAGATATTAATGTTATTCAGGTAATAAGGGTTTTGGAGGAATAGTAAGCCTTTTGATAAAATTCAAGTTTCATGGTGTATTAATAATATTTCAATTTTTCACCCATGTAGAATGAAAACATATATGCACCTTGACACCATCTTGGCTGAAAGTGCTAGATAATGTGCACCACTATTTTTCCTAGCCTACTTAAATATGTGAGATTATACTAAATACTTGAAATGTAAGCAAAACAATGACTTGCATGTGATATTACTGAATCAATGGTGCAAATTGAAGATGTACATTTTGTCAAACCATATAAAGTATTCAAAGAACTTTAAAACCTAATTAAGTACAATGATGTGTATGAGAATACAGTAGCTGTTATGTTTCAGGCTGCATTACTACATGATACAGTTGAAGATACTAATACCACTATAGAAGAAATAAAAGAAGAATTTGGTGAGGAAATAGCAGGTAGTTACATTACTTGTAAGTAAGATATATGTTCTAATCTATATATTGATTATATTTATTGCTATACTGTAGAAGCACAAGATCCCCACATTGTGAAGATGTAAGAATCATAAAAAGGAAAGTTGATAAATTCAGTCTAGGAAAGGCATCAGGTGTTAAAAGAACAGTAAAGATAGATGTTCACCTATTAGGATCCAGTCATTCAAGCTTAGTGAGACCGTTTCCATGGAACCAATTGGAAAAATAATATAGGAATCTATATTGGTGGTTTAATGATCGTTTGTTTATTTTAGGAATAGTTGATGAGCTTTCTGATGATAAAAATTTACCAAAAGCCGAGAGAAAGAGATTACAGATTGTTCATGCTCCATCAGCAAGTCCCAAAGCTAAACTTGTGAAACTAGCTGATAAACTATATAATCTACGTGATTTACAAAGGACCAAACCTGAAGGATGGACATCAGAGAGAGTGGAGGAATATTTTATCTGGGCAGCCAAAGTCATTGATGGTTTACGTGGAACTAATAAACAAATGGAAGCCAGTTTAGATGAACTATTTAAAGCTAGAAATATTTCTATTTAACCCTGTTGTGTTGCAATCCAATCTGTATGTTTCTCTAGACATGTACACAGATTATAGGACAAGACCGTTATACTTAGACAAGAGTATACTTCCATCCTTTGATCACAACTCACTTGTCAGGTGTGACATTTGTACACTGGGAAAAATAAAACAAATAGATTTTACAATTTTATTTCTCCAGAAAGAAAAATATAAAATACACATTAATTTTTTGAAAGAAATAAATACATCTTTTACTATGATACATTACAATGAAATGACAATTGTGAGAATTAGTGAATTATTTAACCATTACCCTTAACAAGTTGGCAGAAAACTAAATTTTGGAACATCTGTATATAGTGCCTAGATTTGCATACCAGTACTTTATCCATTTGATATATACAAAATAAGGTTGACTTCCCCAATTGATAGAGCTCTATTCCAGCCTCTATAGCAATTTACAGAATGTACTACAGCTGGCTTAAATCGAGCTCTATCAATTTGGGAAACAATTATTTTGACATTTATCTCTTGCATATATGTTCTTGCATTCAAGGAAATTAGACTAAGCTATAGATCTAATATATCTAAGATCACAATATATTTAATAAAGTTTTGATTTTTGTAGTAAACCAGAAATTGGAATAATTTTTAAGAAGAAACAATTTAGAACCCAACACCTATGATGTTATGTTTATATAAATTCATTTATTCCAGGGAAAAATCTTCACCCTCGTAAATGACCTTAGGGTGATATTTACCCCTGTGGTAATAAATTTGTTTTTGAATTTGTATTTGCATCTTGTCTAAAATATGTGAATACAACAAATGTAAATGTGATAAGATTTGGCAACCTTCACCAAGATGCAAATTTATTTATACTAAATCTAAGTTTATTACAGTTTTTCTTTTGATCCAAATTAGTTCTCTCCAATACGACTAGTTCAAGACATTACTGGAACAGTGGACTTTTTTTTATCACTGAAGAAACTACGCAATACCATTACCTGTCCAATTCCAATGATCAAAATAAGTGATGCTGCAGCAAGTGACCAATACATGACACGCGATTGAAGATTTTCAGCAAATATTCGACCACTACTCTCTCTATTACGGAAATACATTTGTTGTTTAGATATATAATTGAGGGCATGGTGCACATTTTCAGAACCAGATTCCATCTAAAATATTAACATAAAGGACATGGTTATAAAAAAAAAGGTGATGTGAAAATTTTGAATATGGTATGTCTTACTTAATTTATAAATAAGCGTAACTACTAATATTTAAAGAAAATATGACAAAAATAACCATAATGCATTTCTTATGCAAAGAAGCCACAGATAATAAGACAAATTTGGTCTATGTCAATGAACAATAATCTTAAAATAATGCCAAATCTATATAGAACACTAACACACAAACATGATATATATATCTGTAAGCTTACATTCATGACAATAGTTAAATTTTGTGTAACAATAGACTTGAGTAAATAAAAATAAACTAATTAAATAGGGTATAGTCATTTGGAATGAAGTTAGAACAGCTGTATTGAACAGCTGTAATAATGAAATTCTCTATGGTACATTATTTTGATATCTACTTATGATTGATAAATTTTCAATAAATATCACTCCGAGCATAATGGATGTTCATAATCTTGTTTGACTGACAGGAAATAAAAAGACACTTTGATACAAATAATGCTGATATTTCAACAACAATTTCAACAAATCCATCATTTTTTGATTAATTGAAAATGACTTTCATCCTTATGGCCTTAAAAAGATCTTGTTTCTTTGATCGTTACAACCCATTTAATGGTTAACTAAAAATCCACCTGAATAAAGTAATTTGTAATGGAACATTCATCAATTATTAAAAAAAAAACAATTATAACACACAATATTATTTACATATTTATAGTACCTAAATAATTTACTAAAATCACGTAGCACTTGGTGTTTTATGTTTGTCTGTAAAGAAACTTTGTAAAACCATAACTTGTCCAATTCCGATTAAAACAATGACTACTGATTGTCCTATTGACCAGTACATTACACGTTCATTTAAATCTTCAGCAAAAGATCTGCCCTGTAGTTCTCGCAGACGAAAATGAGTTTGATAATCTATGGCTGTTTTAAAATCCTCGTGTACATTTTGAACTGAGGTTTCCATCTAAATAAAAAAAAAAGAACATTGGGTACTTAATTTGGTAATTGTGGAAAAAAGATTAGTACAAGCAAAAAGAAGGTTACAACATTATAGAAAGAATAGAAGTCCAAATACTATAGATACATAAAGAGTAACTGCCAAAACCAAATATTAGAATGAATTCTACAGGATTAAAATAACAAATTGCAACAGTTAAATAATTGGTGCTGAGACCTTTTAGAATACAACAGGGACCCCAGTAAGGAATAAAAAAAAAATTGAGGAAATTTGAAAATATTAGCTGAGGTTCAAAGGGGCCACAGGCTACCATGTTGAGGTTAAGGGGGAGATTTTACCACTTTAAGATGGTTTGGAAGACATTTCCTACATAGAAATCTTTTCACACCTCAAACCAAATTTAAAGTGGTTTTATTAAAAAAAAAATACTGGCCAGAACAATAGAGGAATTTTGGTATCCCTGATATAAATTAGGAATTTTAGCATTTTCATCAATACATTATATTTAACTTTATCTAAATATAATATTTTTTTTGTTTCTGAAATAATCATACGAAAAAAAAAAAAAAAAAAAAATGGCAATGAACAATTTACAGTGCAATTGAAAGTATTTATAATGTCCTTTATATATTTTCATAATCAGAAAATGTAATAAGAGGTTCCTAACTCAAGATTGTACATGTGCATTGAAGTAAGAGACGGTGGTGAAAACAAAATATAGAAAAGAAGGTATTCTAACACCAAAGTGTAATGATAATGCACCAGACATCGAAATAATAATGCACCTTGGAATTTAATAATAATAATAAAAATAACACCACAATAACAAAACCATCACCATATAATCTGATTTCCACAATTTTTGTTCCGAAGAGAATAGGATTGTTGCTATAATGCACAACACAATTTAAGGAAATGTCCAGCTTGAATTGAATTTTGAAGTTTGGAAGCAAAAAAAAGTTACAATGAAATGCCAGGGTACCTGTGGCTTAGGCTTATAAAAGGAAAAAAACTCTGATTACAGTGCTGGAATGAAAAAGAATGCATTAAATCATACTAACCAGAGTCATGGCTTTAGCCTGGGAATCCATGCCTTCCATCAGGGGTTTTTCATCACCAACTTGAAGATCAAAATAAACTACTTTGTGTGAGAAAGTAGAGAATTCATTACCAAAACAGAACTTGTAAATACCAGATGCATCAGCTGTCCATGTGAAACTGTCATATTGTTTTTTAACATCTTTATATAGGACTTGTCCAGATGGTGCTGTCAGTTCCATGTCAACATCATAGTGACCACCAGTAATAACCTTCAATAAGAAAATAACACAACTGATCATTGCCTAAACTATAATATTGACTGTAGGTTGACCCTGCCCGGACAGAACATCAATCTCATGACCATAGTAGGCTTACTTATCACCAAGATCAGCTAAAAAAAATATAAAGCATAATTTATCTGTCAATAACAGCAAGACAATCTGCCAATTGTATTTGCCTCTACTACTAAACTTCTGAATAGTTAAGAGAAGTCAGTGAAGACTTTGAAAGGAAGCCACTTGCTGCACATAAGGAATTAATTCGTACCGACAGGCTAAAAAAAGTAATATTATGAGCATATACCTGAAATTCTATTGTGCTTTTAGTACCCTTCTCTATTGATTCGAAAAAACATTGATGTTCATTGTCAGGTAACTCAAAAGTCAATTCGACAGAATATGTCAAACAAAACAGGGTAGCAAACAACGCTAAAATAAAAGTAAAATGTTCCATATTGAGTATAATTCACTCCTATTCTTTAAAATCGAATATTAATTGACTTCTGTTCGCAACATATGGCAAAATCTTGCCAATTTATCAATATTTTGCCGATGCTTCCGTTAAGTAAGATACGTTGTCAACAATGGCGCTGTTCTCAACGTGGCCGGAAGTAGTTAGCGAGATCCTGGTATAATTCTTTTGTGCTCTCCACAAATGTAAAGAGCCTAAAAGAATATACCACAATTTCTCTCGAATTTTTTCAAACTACCGAGAGAAATCGTAATATTGAAACTTTGAATAGAAACCTTTCAGAAAAATGAATTTTCACCTTTTACTGAAGTTTAGAATGTAAGATCTCTTTATACTAACAAGTTGGTATTGAAACATTATTACCAACCTAACTATCTTAAGGCAATATTTGCAAACCTGATCATTGCATAATATAACTATAATATTGACTGCAGGTTGACTGAACATCAATCTCATGACCATATATTTGCAAACCCTTAATCTTCAAACTTTTTCTCCTTAATTCAACAGGTTGTAGTAGGACCACACGATCATTTCTGATATATCTTAATTGATTTTTGGATTTAACCAAAAAGAATAATAACTGCGATGATCAAGAAAAGAGGCGTAAAACTCCATTGACACCCCATGCACATAATACAGTTGTTTCAGAGAGTTATTATGTGGCAATTATTAATTAAATATCGTCTGCTTGAAAAAATAGATATTATTGTTGTCTCCCTTTATCCAATCTGGGTGTATTTTTTTTGTGAGGTGGAGTTGGTCTATCTCATAGAAAAATTCCAACAATCTTGTGCACTGCATTAAGCTTATTCGTTTTATATGAAATTTACAGCAAATTGTAACCGTTTGAAGTCACCAAAGAGAATTAGATACGATAATATGACTCAAATTATATTTCTTCTAGTTTGTCAATCAGTACAAGTTTGGCATATTGTGGCTATAATTTTGAAAGTTATGACCAACAATTAGATTTTGTAAACAAAATTTAAATGAAGAAGAAATCACAAGAAAAATTATTGGTTTTACTCAGCAAGAAACGTGTTCTTTTTTTTTTATTGTAACTTTATGAAACTTTGAGTAACATCATATTTCATGTTTTGTTTTAATATTTCTATATCGCTCTACTGATATATTGAGCACTAATGTAACATTGAAAATGTTTTGTTATTGAAACAGGTATAAGCTATGGGGAGGCTATTAGTAGTTGACCTCTATAATTCAAGACGTTCCCCATCTTCATTACCATGTAGCAAAGTAAAACTTTTTTTTAATCTTCTCGAAGTATAAAATAGATGAATTTCATTTTTGAGATCTATATAACAGTAGAAAGTAAATCTGGTATTGTGATCACGGATCAACCATATTATCTCTCTGTTCTCATCATTAAAAACGTACAGCCTAGGGTGTAATTCGACTTGTGTGCTTTTGCCAATCTCCGCAATTCCGTTTAGTGTGGTAATAATACTCGATGGAACTCTGTTAGGATGATTTCTGATTATCTCTCTAACACGCGACTGCGCGATGGCAAGCTAATTGCTTATCGATATGTCGTGTCTCGTGCCGTACTGCCAGCCTTCAGATAGAAATTGATTAAACTACGGAATGCCGGGATGATATTACTTATGTAAATCAGATGCAGAAGCGCAAAATTCATTTTCTATGAGAGGCTATTCCAATATGGCGACAACAGTTCAGAACGGTGTGATATCTGAGTTGTTATTAGTGAACGGTGGACCTAACGTTCTTCAAATGGGCCACATCCCAATGAAAGAAAACGACGCCATCAAGTTGTTTGTCGGCCAAATTCCCAGAAATCTCGAAGAAAAGGATTTAAGGCCTGTCTTCGAAGAATATGGACAAATATATGAGTTGACAGTTCTTAAGGATCGATTCACGGGCATGCATAAAGGTAGGTAGTGTAGGTGTGTAAATAGTCGCGTGATGAGAATTTAAATGTCCATGAACAATGAGTCACATGGATTAATGATATATGTCACCGTATTATTATCAGCTTAATTCTTTTATCCATCATTTAATCCTTCTTATCTTTACTGACACAAAACTTTTCATACAAGAACTCCTCATTAACTCAGCAAGAATTAAATAAAATCAGTACAGACTAGAAAGTAAGGATGCTTAACCAGCATGAAAGACCCTAATCAGCAATATTAACCCCTGGGAATATATTTATCTGATAATACACGCAATATCATTGTAGCGTGAAGGGGTTAATGGGGAAATCTGTTAAGTCCAAGACTATCAGGAACAATATCTTTAACTACTGGAATAATATTTACACAAGATTGTCACTCATTGTTTGTTTATCTCACAATTCTTTCATCATGTCGCCGACAACAATAACCATTTATTACACCTAGAACGTGATAACAATAAGGTTTGAATTATGTTAGATAAACACTTTAGGTAATGTAATTTGTTTAGGTTTCTATATAAAGTCGTGAGATCTAATGAATAATTAAAGAACATTATAGGTTTAACTCTGATGGTTTTCAAACACAGTTCCCTTTGAATGCTTCCGCCATTCTTTTGTCCTTTAAAAATATAAATCACCGTTTCCGTGCACTCCCGATGCAGTGGGTCAACTAGATGAGTGTGAGCCCGTGGGTTGGGGCCTCTACCCCAAGAAATTATTTTTTTTTAAAATATGCTCTCTTGACACTTTTGTGGGGTGGGCGCCCGTGTGCTTGGTAAATGAGTCACATGGTGGCCTGGTGTTGTAAATAACTCAATGTGATAATTTTGTCGTGTGGGTACTATCCTATTAAGACAAAGATTATCGAAATTAGTATATCGCTCATTACAGCTTTAATGTAAGAATTCGAAGTGGCTTTAAGAAAAGAAGAACAACAGATTGCACATTTTGAATTTATAAATTGATTTGTGAAACAAAATCTAACTATCAACAAGAAAGTAAAGCAATTTGCAACAGTAAAGTGAAAAAAAATTCCAACAGAGAAACATGTAGATGAAACAATTTTTGTCTATAAATAGGAAAATAATCTTCCACAAATACAACTAAGAAAGTGAAATTTTCTGTCATTATCATCAAAAGCAATGAACAATGTCTATATAAGAATGGAACAATGAAACAATCCGATACCCTGTACCAAAAACAACCAAAAGGAAAGTAAAGTAATTGTTGTTATTAATTGGAAAGTGAAACAATCCCTGGCTACCACAAGCAAAAGTGAAACTATCCCTTGCTACTAATCGGAAAGTGAAACTATCACTAGTTATAAACAGGAACGAGATTCGATCTCTGGCTAAGATCAGGGTCTACAGGAAAGAGAAACTATCTATCACTTGAACTGTTAAACAATCCTTGGCTACTATATGAACTGTGAAACAATCTATGGTTACCAGCTGAACTGTGAAACAATATCAAGCTACCATCTGAACTGTGAAACAATATCAGACTACCATCTGAATTGTGAAACAATATCTGACTATAAGCTGAACTGTGAAACAATATCAAGCTACCATCTGAATTGTGAAACAATATCACACTACCATCTGAACTGTGTAACTATATCAGACTATAATCTGAATTGTGAAAACAATCTCTGGCTACCATCTATGAAACAATCCCTGGTTACCATCTGAACTGTGAAACAATCTCTGAATACGAATTATACAGTTAAACAATCCCTGGCTACCAGTAGAAATACGAAACATTTATTTTCTTGCTACAATCTGAACAGTGAAACAATCTCTGACTACCATCTGTGAAACAATCTCTGAATACCATCTGAACAGTGAAACAATCTCTGACTACCATCTGAACAGTGAAACAATCTCTGGCTACAATCTAAACAGTGAAACAATCTCTGACTACCATCTAAACAGTGAAACAATCTCTGACTACCATCTGAACAGTGAAACAATCTCTGAATACCATCTAAACAGTGAAACAATCTCTGGCTACAATCTAAACAGTGAAACAATCTCTGACTACCATCTGAACAGTGAAACAATCTCTGGCTACAATCTAAACAGTGAAACAATCTCTGAATACCATCTGAACAGTGAAACGATCTCTGACTACCATCTGAACAGTGAAACAATCTCTGAATACCATCTGAACAGTGAAACAATCTCTGGCTACAATCTGAACAGTGAAACAATCTCTGACTACAATCTGAACAGTGAAACAATCTCTGGCCACAATCTAAACAGTGAAACAATCTCTGACTACCATCTGAACAGTGAAACTATCACTGGCTACAATCTAAACCGTGAAACAATCTCTGGCTACCATCTGAACTGTGAAGCAATCACTGGCTACAATCTGAACTGTGAAACAATCTCTGGCTACAATCTAAACTGTGAAACAATCTCTGGCTACCATCTGAACTGTGAAGCAATCACTGGCTACAATGTGAACTGTGAAACAATCTCTGGCTACAATCTAAATAGGGAAACAATCTCTGACTACAATCTGAACTGTGAAACTATCTCTGACTACCATCTGAAGAGTGAAATAATCTCTGACTACCATCTGAACAGTGAAACAATCTCTGACTATCATCTGAACAGTGAGACAATCTCTGGCTACCATCTGAACTGTGAAGCAATCTCTGACTACCATCTGAATAGTGAAACAATCTATGACTACCATCTGAACTGTGAAGCAATCACTGGCTAACATTTGAACTGTAAACAATCATTAGCTACCAGTTAAGCAGTGATACTCTTCTCTGACTACCATCTGAACTGTGGAACAATCTTTGACTACAATCTGAACAGCGAAACAATCTCTGGCTATCATCTGACTTGCGAAACAATCTCTGACTTCCATCTGAACTGTGAAACAATCTCTGACTACCATCTGAACTGTGAAACAATCTCTGCCTTCCACCTGAATTGTAAAACAATGTATGGCTACCATCTGAACTATGAAACAATCTCTGACTTCCATCTAAACTGTCAAACAATCTCTGGCTACCATCTGTACTGTGAAACAATATCTGACTACCATCTGAACAGTGAAACTATCTCTGTCTCAATCTAAACAGTGAAACAATCTTTGACTACTATCTGAACTGTGAAACTATCTCTGGCTACCATCTAAACAGTGAAATAATATATGACTACCATCTGAACTGTGAAACAATCTCTGACTACAATCTAAACAGTGAAACAATCATTGACCACCGTCTGAAATGTGAAACAATCTCTGACTACAATCTAAACAGTGAAACAATCATTGACCACCGTCTGCAATGTGAAACAATAAGGCTACCATCTGAACTGTAAAACTATCTCTGGCTACCATCTAAACAGTGAAACAATATATGACTACAATCTAAACAGTGAAACAATCTCTGACTACCATCTGAACTGTGAAACAATATATGACTACAATCTAAACAGTGAAACAATCTCTGACTACCATCTGAACTGTGAAACAATCTCTGACTACCATCTGAACTGTGAAACAATTTCTGACTACAATCTAAACAGTGAAACAATCATTGACCACCGTCTGAAATGTGAAACAATAAGGCTACCATCTGAACTGTAACACTATCTCTGGCTACCATCTAAACAGTGAAACAATATATGACTACAATCTAAACAGTGAAACTATCTCTGGCTACCATCTAAACAGTGAAACAATAAATGACTACAATCTGAACAGTGAAACTATCTCTGGCTACAATCTAAACAGTGAAACGATATATGACTACAATCTAAACAGTGAAACGATTTTTGACTACCATCTGAACTGTGAAACAATCTCTGACTACAATCTAAACAGTGAAACAATCATTGACCACAGTCTGAAATGTGAAACAATAAGGCTACCATCTGAACTGTAAAACAATCTCTGGCTACCAACTGAACTGTGAAACAATCTCTAGCTACAATCTGAACTGTAAAACAATCTCTGGTCACCAGCGAACTGTTAAATAAGCACTCTCTAACCACGAATTATACAATCTCTGGTCATCATCTAAACAAAGGCAAACAGTTTCTGACCTATTGTAACACACTAGTGTTTCTTTCATGGAAATGGAAAAAAAATGTTCACAACTTTCCTTTCTGTCACAATACTGCTAATACGAGCAACAAATGTCAACTGTAAAAACGTTTCTAAATATTCCCAAGATAATACAAGTTTAAAAGATAACATCTTATTGAATCCCACCTGAATTTTCAATCAATCTCTGACTACCAACTGGACTGTGAACAAAAATATACAAATCTTAATAATAATAATAGCAGCACGGAGTAAAATACTCAAGAGAAAAGACAATTGGAAAGATAAAAGTTCCGATTTATCTTTTATATCACCCAATTCTTTTAATCGACTATATTCATTCTGTCTGCTACAGTAAAGATTTCTAACAAATTATTCTCTTGGCCTTCAAATCAATTTCTCAACTCTCGGCTCATTACCGGGCTAGTAAAAAAATATGATGTTGTTTCAATCATTCAATCGCTTCTAATCTAGATTCCCGTGGTGATCTTTCCGTTATGTCAGCTGCCTATTGAACTCATTTTCAAGCGAACTCGGGCGAATTGCGTAAATATAATGAAGATGGAGTATCTCTTGATTGCGAAATGACGAGACAAATATGGTGAGGCTATCTTTCCTATTGATAAATCCGTCTGTATAAACCGACATAAAATCGTTTGAATAATATTCATGAAAGAATATTGAGGAATCAATGAGAAAGAACAATTTGATGGCATTGTATTCGACCTATTTACTCCCAGTGTGAATACTAGAATTTCTGTCTTTCACATTACGTTGAATAAGGTGCACGAGTTTGTCTTTAGAAAGTTTAGGTGCATTCTGACATTCAAATACAGTTGATGATTTTCTTTGAAAGAAAATACACATTTTTCTTTAAATTAGACGGATATCTTACGATTACGACTACTGATATTGTTTTACTCAGTGTCATTTACCAGTCTTATTCGATCAGTAAATAGCCGGTGATGTTATTATCTCGTAATGTTATCATCTCGCCACCTCCATGCCCCAAAGTTTTCTGAAATCAAACGCACAACTACCGAGGTCCAAATTGAAACAAGGAGAGTTATTAGTTTCCAGTGACTAGTGCTTTTATAAAGCATTGTTTTCTCCCTTTTATAAAACATTTGCTTACTATTATTGAAAACTGATTTTTTAGGAAGTAAATATCCGACTTTGATGTCCGAGTACCGACTTTGACAGCTATGTCCGAAAACCGACGTTGATAGGTATGTTTGAATATCGACTTTAATAAGTATGTTCGAGTACCGACTTTGATAGGTATGTTTTAATACTGATTTGATAGTTTCCCAATGTGATCGAAGACGTGCTGATTTTGATAGAGATATGACAGAGTTTCCAAGTATACCCAGTGATTAATGCTATTATACTAAAATAGGCAATTCCATGTGCCTCTTATATTCCCCAGTTCCCATGATGTTTATTTCCATTAGATATACATTCATTGTCTATAGAACATTAACCACCAGCTGAAGGAAAAAATCTGTCTCATTTACTATGTATATACTGTGTGATTCTTAGACACAAATCGTTTATAAATAATTCATTTAGCGGCAAATGTATGGAAAAGATAATCATTTGAATAATATGAAGATAAATGAATTTTCTTTTACGAGAAATTAGTCATTCATTGTTTCTTTAAATGAGTTATGTGTGGACATCTTTCTAAAGAAATGACATATGCTGTCTAGAAAATTTGCTATCTGTAATCTGTATGGTTTCAAAGACAAAACAAAAATGGCACTAATAAATAAGTTCTGAAATACTACTGACTATCATAGTGATATTTATATAACATACAGCCGAAATACTACCGACTGAATGTTTTATATCATACATACTACATACTGAATGTTATATATTATAATGCTGAAATACTACTCACCATCATACTGATTGTTATATAATATATAGCTGAAATACTACTGACTACTATACTGAATGTTATATACTATATAGCTGAAATACTACTGATTACTATACTGAATGTTATATAATATAAAGCTGAAATACTACTGATTATCATACTGACTGTTATATACTATATAGCTGAAATACTACTGACTACCATACTGACTGTTATATAATATATAGCTGAAATACTACTGAATACTATACTGACTGTTATATAATATATAGCTGAAATACTACTGATTATCATACTGAATGTTATATATTATATAGCTGAAATACTACTGACTATCATACTGACTGTTATATAATATATAGCTGAAATACTACTGATTATCATACTGAATGTTATATATTATATAGCTGAAATACTACTGACTATCATACTGACTGTTATATAATATATAGCTGAAATACTACTGATTATCATACTGAATGTTATATACTATATAGCTGAAATAATACTGACTTTAACAAAGCGATATAGACACAGACTCAAGAGACAACAATGGCTGATTTAAGATATACAAGCAACGTTTCGACGTTTTCACATCATCAGACACATTCAGATAATAATGTTGTATTTTATTATTTGTTATTATTAAATTTGACTATTTGATATTCAAATGAGGACTGCAGTGGTGGTAATTCAGTTATCAACTGAAAGTGACAGATATTCAATTTAACAGATTATCATTGGTACAGAAGATCGCCATATTTTCATTTCAGTTAAATTCAATTACGTGCTTTCTGGTAGAAAAATTGGAAGTTACAAAGTGAACGTGCCAGAACTATTTGCACATTTTGATGTGAATCTTTGAATAGAATTACCATTATTCAAGATTCCGCGGAGACAATTGCATGTATATATGAATAAATATTCATTCTGTTATACACGTATATATACCAAATCATAGTTTGACCGTATATTGTCAGTTTTAAATATATTAAAATACTTGTACAAAATGATATGCTTATAATATGATACTAATCGAGAATTGACAAGCTAGTGTTTTGCACATATAGCTAAGGACTGAAATTTTCATGGATTATTTCAGCGAATATTGCGCAGTTCCAATACTTCAGATGACTTTATTACATATAAATGTTTCTTATATTTAAAACCCAAATCAATCCTCGAAAACCACGATGAACCATTGCCTTTTTAAATAACAGATGCTTCATGTGAATAATGTGAAGAGAGGATATCTTTAAGAATATTCTGTCGTGATGTCTTAACGTCGTCTCCAATTTAATGTCTTATATCTCTGACAAAGTTTCAGAAAGGATAAAATCGATGACAAGAGCGGTAGGAAGTATTAGGATGTCTTGTTCTATAATTACCAACGTATGACATTTCAGATGGCGACTTAAAACCAAGCTCTCAAGATTATACAATGTATCCCATATACCGCATGTATTTGGAACACGTGGACGAGAAATAGCGTTTTATTTGAAAGTGTAAATCCTTAGGGAATAGAACAAAAAATAACATTTTTTTTTAGAAAAACACGGATTTTTGTATTATTATTTTGTCATGACAACATCGATATACTTTTCACATTTCCTTGCGTACAATGATGAATTCCCCGAGGTATATAATATAGATGTATATCAACTCCTGCTCAATTTAGCATTTGAAAGCCTGGCGGTGTGTGTTAGGTTGATATCAACCTCCGCTTATCACAATATAGACATTGTGAGCCTTCAGTCATCTTGATATAAGATAGAAACCTAAAACATGATTCGAAAGCAGTGGAAGTCTGAAGAAAAACATCAGATGACATAATATTCGATTTGAGTACTTAGATGAGAATAACTATCTCTTTGATTTTCTTTAGACATACTGTGTTATTGCCTCCACTCCATATCTTTTCTTCAAGGGACAAATTTGTCTAAATATCTGCTTTCAAAAAAGCAGAAATCATTCTTAACCATCCATGAAACATTTCAGAATTAAAGATAGGCGTCCGATTACACAGTAATTAAAGAAAACATCCAAGCGAAAGTATCAGGTTTTTTTGCACGAGTCATTGAACGATGCATCGAATTTGCTTCTTAAAATAAGATGACATTCATTGAAATGGTTATATATTATGCTTTAAAAGTTCATTGTTTTGCCTGATAATTATTTATCCTGTATTCCTGTATGTGGTTATATACCTTTTACCATAATTTTTTTTAAACGAAAGCATCATTCTTAGATTCAGAATAATTGGAGTTCCCGAGAAGATGAGCGAAACAAAACAATTAAGGTTATTATTCCAAGAAACTGAAATATATTGGAGGGTGTTTACTATACCGAATCTTTTTTTTTCAGGTTGTGCTTTTTTAACTTATTGTTCTCGAGAAAGTGCTATTAAAGCTCAACAGTCCTTACACGAACAAAAAACTTTACCGGGGGTAAGTAGAATTGTTTGTCGGAAATGACAGGGGTTGTTTTTTTTTATTATTTCCATGGATAAGAGGACCCAGAGCTTCTTTATGTTTTTTCTATTTGTTATTACATGTTCAATAGTTTTGAGGTACTATCAAGCAGATCTCAACGAATAAGCTGAGATAAGAATGAGTCTATTAATAAAGGGAGCTCAAGACGATCTTGCGATTTATAGAATATGAGAGCAACTGATAATCAAACGACTACAGAAACTGACAGAATCGATGAAAACTGATCACCACAGGAGTTAGTCAACGTAAGAGCACCAATGACTGACAGTAAACGGAAGCGTACACAGATCATGGCACAGCAACGATCTGTTGTTTTGCTCTGAATCACTAGCCGATCTGAGACGAACCGTTTAGGTGCCTTTCTTTCGATTCTTAAGGGTCTGGTATAGTACATAAAGTCAATTATTTGTAAATATTTTATTTAGTTTTACATAATTGATTTATTGAACATATTTATTGTGTATGCTATTGTCTTACAAATTACAATCACGTCTGTGTTTTTGCCTTATTAGTCTGAAGAGAAAAACACAGGATTTTATCGACTGTAAAGTCATTTCTTTTACTGATAAAGCGTAGCAGAGCTATATCTTGTCAGAATGAAATCAGACATCTAGTTTGCCTGTAATATGTCAGAAAAAGCGTGATGAATATCCAGATCGTTTCTCCATATACGCTAAGAAAGCAGCGTTTTTGGAGAGATTGTTAAGAACTATTGAAAGGGTATCAGGGACACTGATACCATCAATTTGCACTGTTCTAATTTTCCTTCAAATGTCTGTAGTTCTTGAAATTCCACTGAAACATATCGTTTCATGACGTAACTTACTGTCTCTAATGCTGCTAATAATATTTAGGTCCTTTGAGATTTTAATGTCACAGACTCTACGTTTGACTGTAAATTGAAATGATGCAAATCGATACCATCAGTATCCCCGATAAAAAAACGTTTAGAAAACAACTCAACAATCCCTGTAGACTCCTATGAAGAGGAGACAGGTCAAGATGGTTCTTTCAGGAGCGTATTAAGTCAATAAATTACCTAGGCTATACTGGTGCCACATGAAAAACGGAATTGTTATTGTTTTAAGAATCACGTTTGGCCTTGTGAAAGAAAAATGTAAAAACAAATGGACTATCAATTTTGTTAAATGAAAGGGACTTGCCAATATATCACGACTTTTAGCTTTGTAAATTAAGAATTGTCTGGAATCGTGGCTATATATAATGTCAGATCTGAGAAACGAAAAAATCTCAGAAATCAAACAAATAAAGGTGATGGTGTGTGTGGTAAAGTGTACACTATCTTTTTCTCATGTAATATGGGTCTTAGTCACGATATTTCAACTTTTACCATTCAATTCTATTTTTCATTCAGAAGTAAAGTGGACCACTCAATTTGAATTCTTAATTCCTAATGTTCCTAATGGTCTTTACTCTCTGATATGATAATACAAATACATGTAATATTCTGAGAATTAACTCAGAATTAGGTCCATTGCACCAAAATGACTGATATCCAGTAATTTATTCGTTATAATTAATTTGTATGCCATATTTTTTGCATTTAACACACTAAAGTTTAAAATAAATCTAATACCCATCAAAATATTTCCTGCAGCAATCACCAGAAATCGAGGTTACGTTACGTTACTTTACGTTACGTTACTATAGTGAAACCATGTAGGCTATTAGCAAGTTATCGATACAGGTTAGTTGGTGATACTCTCTGACTCTTTGAAAGGGTTGGTTAGCAAAATTGAAGTTTTCACGTATATGTCAGTCGACCCATTTGTTTGAGTTGGGATCCTTCGAAATAACACGAAATCACGAGGATAATACGTGTTAAATGAATATCATTTGCTAATAACTTTTTCAAGGACAGTTCGGAATGTGTTTTTTTCAAAACATTAAGACTAAATTTTAGCTATGATATAAATATTTCACTGTAAATTGATGCAGACTGGCATGTATTGTGGTATTCAATAGGAGGGTTTTCTGTCAGAGCTCATGCAGTGCGTAGATTTAAGTGCCTTTTCTTTAACCTTCATAGAACACCTTCATCTGGCATTCAACCATTCAAAAGTGTGATTATAATACCTAGCTTTAGCTATTCACATAATGATTCTCTCTTTTTCACATTTAAGTAACAAATTCAACCTGACTTATAATCATTGTAGTATAAAAAGTCAAATTTGTCGAATACCATTCTGTATATTAGCGTGTGAGATGTAACAGACACGAAGCGTAACATAATGATTATAAAATACACACACTATAAAAAGTTTATATTACAAACAGAACACCTTCTACTGTCAATTTTCTTGTTTTTCTAAATCAAAGGTTTATTGGAGATAGAATGAAAGAAAGTGATAACTTCCACACTAATGATAAACCAATTTAAATCTATACGGATGTGATTTTCTTTAAAGAATGTATCATAACCGTTAACGATAACAATTTTCAGGTTAAACATTCATGTGAAGTCGAAATGAAATGAAATGCGTTAAAGAGCTATAAAGCACCCAATTGTGTGTGAATGTCAAATAGCACACTGTAGTTAGAAGAGTCGGGCAACATGGGCAGGATCTGTGTCAGTTGATGCACCATTGACGGACCGAAATTCCAGCTGGTATACACCCTTGGTCGAATACCACATGACTGTGGTAAATAATAGCCAAAGTAAAAGTAAAATTGTATGCAGGGATATCTGAACAAATTAAAAAGGCCATACACTGAAGGAATTTATGCGTTTCAGGGACACTGGTAGTATAAAATAGCACCATTCCAATTTTCAATCAGACGTCTGTGGGATCTTTGAAGTTAACTATAGCTAACTATCGAAAGCTGCAAAAACTGTTTCTATAACCACAGACATCTAATATGACAGAATTTGAATGATGCAGATAGAAGCCATAAATGGCTTTGATACACATAAATAGTTTAGAGAAGTTTACGTTTCGCAATCCTTTAATCCTTTTAAGTTATGTGTAAATGGGAACTGATTTGCATTACAATAACTACTAGAACAGGCCCTGCCCTTCTGGTCAAACAAATCTCATAATTATTTTGCCAAACAAAAATGGCGAAGAAGCTTTACCAAGACTGACTCTTTCTAAATTCTTAGTCCCCAAATCTAGGAGTTAAATTTGAACTCACTTCATTGGCTCAAGAACAGTGACTTACATCAGTCTCATGAGAATATTACAACTCTGATCGATTCAATCTCAAATTGTTATCGCAATAATTCAATGGAGGATAAACTAAAAGGGTGATCGTCTGCAGTATTTCATAGATGGAGCCACATACCACCAATGGCGATAACAATATTACTTCATTGACTTTGATGATTCGGGTGATAAGTTAAACTATTTATTTATTGAGATGGGATGATTAGATTTGTGATAGATGATTAAATAAAACGCGAAATTAAAGATTATTCACTTTTTATTTACCGATTAGCATCAAATTTAGAACGATTCCAGAGGCTCTTCTTTCTCAATTGACAGATGCATCGATGGCTTAATCCTGCATTGCATGCAAGGCACCTGGATATGGTTAATCAAATTGTATAATATGCATTGTACTGGATAGGTGCATGAACTCCTTATATATAGTGTTCTATTTTCTTTTTATAGAGGATGCTCGAAATCGCCAAATAGGGAGAAATGCAGAATGCACAGGACGGACACAGCACCCAAATCCTGGTCTTTCTATTGTGTTGTAAGAATGTTGTATTTCTTGGAGCTGTGGTGGCTCAGTGGGTTAGATGCTTGCCCGCTCACCTGGTGGTGTAGGGTTCAAACCAGGCGTAGGTCCAGATCGTACCTTCTTATTTTTCAACCCGGTTTCCCTTTTATTAGGTTGGTGTCAGTTTGGTTCACCATTCATTAAGTAGCTTACCTTAGCTAATGATTATAGTATGATCTTTATCACCATTGATCTATTTACTGTTATCAATTACTATTGATTTCTTAAACAAATTAAGCTATGGTCTGCTGGAGATTTTGTCTGTGGGTATATTTTTAAATCGATGAGGTGCTGGGTGGAATTGTTTTAGTCTTTAAGATGTTCTTATCTTTAAACTACTCAGACAGAGTTATAGATGTCTAATTATTACAATTTGATCATTCATCACTAAAGATACCCGTAAACATCTTCAGAATAAAAATCCAACCCAGGTTCGTATAGGCTACAACTTGTAAAAAAGAACCGATGCCAGAAACGGATGTTATTAAAAATTTCATAGAATCTGTGTTCGAGATATTGTTTTCTGCAAGTCGGTTCGAGTATCTATTTTTTACCTTCGAGAGATGTAAAATCATTACCGATCAAAACTGATTCCGAAAACAAGAATGACGAAAAATGATAAATTTTGTCCACACGCACACTAACAAGAAAGAGATGTATTTTTATCTGATCTCATCAAATATTTTCTCATTTTCTTGCTAGTTTCAATAACTAATTTAAATATTGTAGCACCTTTGATGGATATACATACAGTGGCGGAGCCAAAGGGGGGCAGAGGGGGCAGTTTTTTGGCATTGGAGGTTAATGTGTCTGGTTCCATTAACTACCCTCCTTGCCACGTGAAAGTTTGTCGTGTTCAGGAAATAGAGCTATTACTTTATGAAACTCTTCAAAAACATCTTTACATTTTGATGGAGTTAATCGATGTTTGAAGCAACGATGCCAGTACGACTTGAGTTTAGAAACGGCCAGTAATTTTGACTAGTCTGGGAAAGATAATTGGAAGAAAAAGGTTTTCACTATTGAAGTATTGATTGGTATGAGAAAGGCTTTAGAATATACATTAAGGAATAATCCCTGAGTAATAAATCGAGAGAAAACGAAAGTAAAATGTCAAGCATGTTGTCAGCAAGGTGTAATATGATAAGACCATGTTCTAGAATTTTTTACTTTGACGTATGATATAGCTAAATGAATTTAGTCACGAT